TAAAATTATAATCGCTTTCAATTTAAAATTTGTAACACAAACAAGCTACGTTTAAAATTTAATAAATTCGTCTGTTTTATTCGGAAAGCATGGAACGGAAAGAATAGATTAACTCCACCGTTGGATATTAGTGCCGGTAGTCGGCAACTCTCGGGGGCTCTCCAAAATTTATTCTGTGGTGGCAATGCTAATGAGTTCAGTCTAGTACTTTTGTACGGCTATGATCCCCTGGTACTAATGTACCTGGCAAATTGTTGTAATATAATTTAAATTGAAAAAATATTACGTAAGTAAAAGTACTTTTTTTAAAAGATTAAATGAAATGAAGTGAAATGAAAATTCTTTATCCTCACAGAATACAAGAACACATTTATATACGCTATTAATATATAAATATATATAAACGTATCATATTAAAAAGGAAAGAAGCGACAATGGGCGCCCTATCGCTGAAAAGCGATTTCTTCCAGGCAACCTTAAAATATAATATAGTAAGTAAATTTACGACAAAGAAAGCTATGCAAATTCGAATTAATTTGGAAGAATAAACGATTGATCAATCGATAATTGAATGAGAAAATTTAATATGAATGATAGGACGAATGACGTCAGTCATTCTTAGTAGTTTGAGATGCCTTAGGAAATAGACAAATAATACTCTGATCTAAAGTCAACGGGGTACCAAAAAGTAGAAAGAGGCAATAATTTATTTCTGACAGATATTCAAACATTTTTTTGACTAATGAGCTCAAATTTTATGATTAAACTTTTCTCCAGATTTCCTTAAAAGGAATAAGTTTTTTATGGAAATGTGTGTGTGAATTAGTGTATTGTTATGTGTATTGTATATAACATGGTTTCAGGACCTCCATTTTGTAATATAAGTATCCCAACAATTATTTTTTAATTATCCTGTGTGTACAACAATTTGTTAATTTATTTTAATTTGTTTTTATTTAATTCGAGTGCTCATTTTGCTCATTTTGTGCTAAAAAAACTATGGGGGCGGCCTAATACCAGAAGAGAATAACATGGGTGTGGTACCAGGAAAGCATATACATTACATAGGTATAATGAAGAGGCAATCAAACAAATTGCCCACACAAAATGGTTGTCAAATTTAAAGTCCTATTTGCAGAGCGCTCTGCATTTCGTTGTGAAACAATAGTAATTCCATTAGCTATTAATCGCCACAGACAGACTGCAAATACAGATGTATATATAGGTATATTGTATCTACATATATATATGCAGTGTTCCTATTGAGAATAAAAACGTCATATGTAGAGACCGTGGTGATTTAGAATTGCACTTTACACGAATTACAAAAAGATTTCCTTTGCTCTGTATGATATAATCTCTGTATGATTTAAAAGTACTAGTCCTTTTATACGACGGTCTCAGCTCGAGACGACTATTCAAATCGGCGGATTATACTAAGCAAATCCTAGTATGTTTCCTGTAAAGTTTTTAACTTTCCAGAGCATATAACCACAAGGGTATTGTATAGTAATACTTTATCATATTTGATTTACGTTGTGCATGTGTGTAGGGTAATACATATCAATTAAGTTGGACTAATTACCATGAGATTTCGTAGAGGTATCTAAATATTATCTTTTTGGTTTACTCAAATATTAATTAGAGCAATTAGCCCACTGGTAATTCAGTTCATATTTGTTTCACATACTGTGGTTAATATTAAAATAATTTTGTGTTGGTGATATGTTAAATAACAAATTGTAGATAAGTTTAGTGTTAATTGAAGGAGTTTCTTTTTTGACTTCTCTAATACTGTTGGTCGCAGCTGGCCTTTACAGCGGCACCGGACGATAGGGAGCGAGTGCAGATGGCACTCCATCATCACCATCCACTTCCACCTGACGGACACGACTTTATTCTGAGGGCATCGTTAGCGGTTCGAATCTCGGCTCAGGCTATCGTAATTCCGTTTGAATTGGACGGGAGATTGACTCGAGGGGGGACGGACGTCGATCGGAGGGGGGACGGGGGATCGAAAGGGATTGTTAATAATGGGGCATTGACCATATTGCTAGCTCAGAGTGAAATTTACGCGGTACCCACTGGAAATTTCTTCTTTCATTCTTCAATTCGGACAAAGCCGGAATATGTCTCTAAAGTAATTTACTTTTGTTAATATTTTAGTAACTCCAATAAATATCGGAATATCATTGAAAAGGTCATTTATATAATATAGGTATATAATTGAAATTCTGAAACATACGTTTTCAATTAATTATAATTAGGCTTTTAGGAAATTCGGTCTTTTGAGTATGCGCATTTTTATTCATTGACTAGCTGTTCCCGAGACTTCATCCGCGTGGAATGTAACTTTATTTTTTTAAAATAAAGAATTTTCTGAAATAAATGTAGCCAAAAAAAGTCCCGTTAACAAACAATTTTTTATTTTGGTATATGTACCGTATTTATATTCATATGCATGTAGTAAAAAACGGTTATTTCAATATTACAAACCGACACTCCAATTTTATTTACATGTATAGATAATGATAATTCATTAGGGGCTATTCATAAATAACGTGACACATTAAGGGGGGGTAAACATAGTGTGACATTCTGTGACAAGCGAGTGGTAGAGATCCTAAATTTTATGATGTCATATATCAAATTTAATGTAATCTAACTAGTGGATAATTATGAACGTGAGGACGGTTCAGTTAGCCGATCGTGACAATTTCACCTGGAATTTATCACGATGGTTCCCAGGGGGAACCGCGTGGAGGTCAATCTGACATGGTACATTGCTGGTAATGGGGTCAAGAGTCCACATTAGTAACAAACCCCTTTCCCTTTCATCCCATAGTTAATATGTACCATGTCAGGTTAACCTCCAAGCAGTTCCCCCAAAATACCATCATCATTACCAACATTACCAGCAATGTACCCTGGCTGATTGACCTCCACGCGGTTCCCCCTGGAAACCATCGTGATAAATTCCAGGTGAAATTGTCACGATGGGCTAATTGACCTGACCTCATGCACACTTATCATCCTCCACTGGTGCCCTGCAAGCGTAAACTCCTTGTATTGTTTGTTGAACTCTGTTTTCCGCATTTAGACTCTCATTTGGACCGTAGTAGTTAAGCGTGTAGAGCCGAGACTACCAAAGTATCAAGCGAAGCTCCTCCCAGGAACGCAGAGCCCGCTGTTGTATTCACAAACTTCACGGAGCGACCTCACTGTTCCGAGGATTTGTGTACGTTGTATGATTATATTTATATATATAAAAATCCATTGCGTAAGATCATATCAGTTTATCGCCTAGTTCCCAGCAAAGTAAATCACCGAGGTAATTTTCTAATAATTTCCATATAACCTAGAAGAGCTGTTATTTAAAAGGCCTGTCGCCGTCGCCGGCGGCATCCATAACTGTAATATTCCAACGTACCATACATAAATCTTCATAACCGCCATCTTGAAGTGCATTTTCCACGTAGGTGGGTAATTTCCAGGTGGCAACATTTATCATCGTTCGCGTGTTACTAGTATCGGGATAACTAATGTGCTGCTATTTTTACCCGCCCAAATTTTGGTTAGGTAACAATTTATTTTGCAGCTGGAAATTATCGTAATAATAATAATTTTATTTGCTCAAAAACATAACATTATAAGATCATGTGCCATAGCAATGGTCTGTAAAATATTATTGTTTAAAAATTGTACACAAATAATTTGCAAAAGAAAAAAATAATAATGATAAATTAGGATATCTCCAGACGATACTTAGAAGAGTCCGGTATATAAAATGGTATGGTATGATACGGTATATAAAATTCTATAATAAAACCTTTCTCGTATTTCTCTTAATAATGTGATTTTATTCATCTTCAATGTGCCAAGAATATCATTATAAATTTTTGAAAAATATGCGTATTCATATACGCATATTTTTCATACCTCCGCATATACGAGATGTTTTGTTTATTGTTATAGTCTCTTGATCAAATGAGAGAGATCAACTGAGAATAGATTAATACATATAGTTTGTTTCTTGTCTATAGTCTTACTGAATGTTAAATTAATTATGGTCGAATTTTGTCTACTGGGAGACTCTAGTAGTCACTCAGTAGTCAAAATTCGACTATTTTTATTAAGTAAAAAAAAGACAATGACAGCACACACAGGTGTAGATAAGTAGGTAATAAATAAAAAACGTATTTTATATAATTGGAATGGTAAATAACCTGACAGTCCACGTGATGATAGGTGGTAACAGTCGCCTATACACATGTAGTCATCATTTGACGCTGATGGTACCGCTATTGGTTTGTTATTCCTGAAGTCGAATATGGTATACCTCCATACCCTGGAATTTCACTGCTGTTTTAACCGAAAGACATTTTACATTTTAGCAAGGTACTCTACGGCTAATATAACTGCCAAATACCAACGCAAACGATTTAGTAAAAGTCTAAAACTAAACAATATTTAAACAAAAAAACAAAATGCCCGTATTATAACAATCCTTATGATCTAATACTCAGCGTTAATTATTTATTTAATTTAATAATTTACTCGTCGAAATTATTGAGCGGTAAAGGCATTTTGGTTAGACCTTATATACCACATAAGTGCTACGATTACTTCAAATATTTGAACCTATTTATAACAGCACACAAATTTGAACATAGAGGATTTAGGTTATACCGTGAAATCATCGAGTCTTCTACGAATTCCTCCGCTTTATTTCCAAATATATTGCTCTTTTGAAAGCCTATTTAATATAAGATTGGGTTTTAAGGAGCGAACACCTCACCTCTCCAATATTCAAGAGCGGCTCCATGCAATTTTAATTCTTTCTTAAGAGGCATCCCATAATATATTCTGTCGTAAATTACACTTCCAAAATTAATATCCCAGGTATTTTACTCTGCTTTTGTGTGGCAAAGTTCGCGGTTCGGTCGACGAGATAAAGTATAATAATAAACGGCAACACTGCTAAGGAAGGAAATACTTACAGAACGTTTCTCTCCCTTGACAGGTTAATACTGTTGATCACCTGGAAAAAAAATGAAAAGAATATATTGAAATGTAGCTCTTATAGAAACAATATAAGGATGGAATTCGTGCAATGAGAAAATTGAATGTAAGTTTCCTTGTGACGAAATATTGACACGGTTACGACTTTTGTGATAATGCAGTGACTTCGTTTTATCATAGATAACATAATTTTATTATTGTCAGCTAAATTCGAGTATGAAAGGATGAATATTAAAAGCGTATATTCACACGACCCGATTTGTCAGTCCGATCTATCGGGTCGATCTGTTGTATTCTGACGAATTCATAACCATACTGGTTAGTTAAGTAACGATTTGGTGGATCGGTTGGATTCTAACTAATTGTCGTAAGATTAGTTTGGTTAGACGAGTCGCATTGTTGGGTCTTCTACGTGAGTATCTCAGTTTACTTATTTTAGTCGATATACTGTTTCGGTTGTAGGATGAAATAAGACAATGAAACTACAGGATAAGAGACAACCGATGGTCGCGGGTTCGATTCCTCGCACGGCACAAACATTTGTATTCATGAGTATGATTGTTTGTATCGGTCTGGGTGTCTTCTATGTATAATATGTATGTATTTAAAAAAAAAACCTATGTATATGTATCAGTTATCTAGTACCCATAACACAAGCTTTAGCTAGCTTAACTTGGGTCTAGAGGGCGCTGTGTGAATTGTCCTGAGATTATTATTATTATTAAGACATCATAGTCCCTTTGAAAGACAACGCTGTGTATGAGTATTAACTGAAAAAAAAAGGTAAATGAATCGACATGTGACAACTACTAATATTATAAAGATCATATCACTGGTGCATATGATCATATCATACATGCATTCAGGAGTTCAGGACCTTTGGGTGAACCCACATGAGTCAAAACATATACTCATGGTGAAGAAACTCCAAAAGATATATATTGGTGTCAGTATCCATAAGAGTGCCCAATAATTGTTTGATGTTCCATGCATTGCGTCTATTCAACGGTGCAGTTAATCGATATCCAGATCTAGGTATATTTCTTTATAATTTGTTGGAATTTCATAGGATAGCAGTAGATTATATAGGTAGTATGTAAAATTAAGATTGCTTTTCTTGTAATTATGTATGCAATCTTTCTAAAGGCCTATTGGGAAACTGTAAAGCTCGCTTATTATGATCACATGATGTAAAGAAATAAATAAAATAAATAAATGCGAAACTGTGTATGTGTGCTTTTGTGTGTAGCTAGGGCTATATTGCTCAACAGATACTAATGAAATTTGATATCAAGATAGATTGTATTATAAGAACGGACTTAGACAACATATATAAATAAATAATGTGTTAAATAAACTGTTGTTTGTGTTCACAGTATTATATAGCGGAATGCAAGATATGTTGATAGTAGACATGAATCTTTCCCGCGCTCGTGGAGACCAGAAATCTATTTTTTTGTTGGAAATATAAACATTTCGCGTGCTTGTTGACAAATGTACATAATTCTAGGACTTATTCAGCTGTATCCGTGAGATTTTGTCTGTTAAAATTGTGCAAATGTCTGTTTTTAAAAGTCAAATGTTATAAAATATATGATTAATACGTATCGTGACTTCGTATCGTTTAATAACGTAAAGTGTAAATAAATGTATAATACAAAAATATAAACGTACTACTTAATATAAATAATATATTAATAACTTCGATTATTATTATTATAATATATATAACTTCTTATGATCTACGTCGTATATCTATTACGTATATCTATTAGACGTAGATTGTAAGAAGTAAACTTCTATTTCATCTATTACAGCCGACAAGCTTTCGTTTAGTTCAGGATGCAGATTAGGCAAAATTACAGAATGAGAGTCATGACATCCTAGTCCACTGAAATTACAAAGCATGAGTGGTATCACGGGTGTCACATGATAACGTGATGTCCGTAGTGCTATTTACAATTTAGACATCATGAAGCCCGTCAGCTCATTTGCCATATATAAAAAGAAAAAAATTATAAAGGAAAGAAAAAAGATCGATGTACAATTTTGAATACATAAAATGAAAAAAATTAAGAAGGAAAGAAAAAAAAATCAATTAATTAATACAATTTTGATAACAAATGTAGAATATTTAATCATGGAAGAAATATCCTACTACTACTACCTAAGATAATAGTTTATTTCCTAAATTGACGGGATTATTTGAATTGAATTTAGGATTTCATTTATTCTATTTGTCTATTATTACTACACTACTATAAAAGAATATTAAAATATTAATATCGTAAACAAAGTAGCTACTAAAGTCAGCTAACAAACAAAGCTGCTTTGTGCTAAAAATTTTTGAAGCAATGGCGAAAGTATATGATACCGTGTGAATTATGCGGCGGCATGCATTCACGGCGAGAGCACGTCTGTATATACAGAGATATACGAATGTATGTTAGTTACAACATAGGTAAACAATAATATAACGGCCTTGATGGTCTAGCGGTTAGCTTACCGCACCGTCTTACTCCCTATGGTCGCATGTTAGTTCCTAGCGTAGGGTTTTTTTATATAGGTGATTATGGAATGGTGCACCCGCCTGCGCTAACGGTTTACGCTGGCGGGGCACCAGTGGAAGATGATGGTTTCCAGGGGGAACCGCGTGGAGGTCAACCTGACATGGTATATTGCTAGCAATGAGATCATCATTCCACATTACTAATAATCCCCTTTCCCCCCCTAGCGTAGGGTATAATTGTTTGTGTCGGTCTGGATGTTATTATGTATGTATTTACAGATAGAAATATATTTAAGTGTTTGACGACCTCGGTGGTGTAGCGGTTCAGCACACCGCTTTACGTCCGATGGTCGCATTTCCAATTTCCATGTATAATATGAATAATAATAATATATTTTTTAATTTTTACACAATGACACTAATTTATAGGCCGTAACATTTGTGCTAGGGAATCCCAGATGTTACAGATAACCTTCCACAATGGTTGGTTCAATTACACAATTTTTACGTAGCTTTGACGTATGTACTTTAATTTTTACTATCTTATATGACATCTGATGAATTTGTTTATGAATGTATTTACGAAAAAAATATATGTATGTATTTGATCTGACCACCGAGACCTTCAATACTACGAGTACTAAAAATATGCAGTTACTAATTTTCTGAAATACTCATAATTATCTGGAAAACACTATTTCTATTTTGTATGGCTCGCTGTTAAGTAACTAACAATTAATTCAATTCTACAGCTACAAGGTCCCATATGGCTGAAATTGAAACAAAGGAGAATGTATTTCAGTGCTAACAAAGTACCGTCCAAAATAAACAAGAATAGTTGAACAGTAAAATGAAATATTCTTACTATTCCTGCAAAATGTAATGTAGTAGTGTACAAAGTCTATTTTTTTTAAACCTATGGTTAAATTGCATTGTAAACTTTTATAGTGCGTGTCTCTCTACTACATTTTTTTTTATCTCAGGACAATTTATAAAGCGCCATCTAGATCCAAGTTAAGCTAGTTAAAGTATGTGCTATGGACACTAGATAACTCATACAAATACATATATAGTTTTTTTTTCGTAACTACATTCATATTATACATAGAAAACACCCAGACCGATACAAACAATCATACTCATGAATACAAATGTTTGTGCCGAGCGAGGAATCGACCCCGCGACCATTGGAAGTAAGGCAGTGTGACACCGCTAGACCACCGAGGCCATCGTAATACAAATTTGGTAAATAAATAAATAAAATTTTGGTTTAATTATTAAATAATTAAATTTTGGTTGTATTTTTTGGCAAATTGAAAATATAGAAAGAAATATAAAATATAAAAGAAATATAAATATAAAACTATTATTAAGGATGATTAAAAAATGACTGGTCTTATCTTAATCAAATTTATATAAGAACATACGAGAAGCAGTAGCTTTCAAACAAAAAAAGAAATATAAACATTGGTTCCCGTAGAAAAAAGTTTTATGATAATTCTCATCTGTAATATATGAAATATACATTTGAATAGTACAATTTCGTAAAATAATACAAAATAAAAAACTTTTGCTAGTTGACTCCAGCACTAAATATATTAATAATTCATACAAAATTGTAAGTTTTATTAAATAGTTTTAATCTCCTACAAAAAAGTCTGTATTTGTTTGGCATCATAGCGCCTAAACGGACGTATCGATTTTGGTTTTTTTTTTGTTTGAAAACTGAAGTAATGGAGGTGGTACTTAGCTGCACTTTAATCAATAACTAGCTGTGCCCGCGGTTTCATTCGCGTGAAATTTATACCCTATATATAGTTTTGCTGTGTAAGCTATATTAGTGTAAAGTTTCATCAAAATCCGTTGATTAGTGTTTGTTGATTAGTTTTTGTGTGAGTAAGTACCAAACATCCATTCATGCATCCATCCATGCATCCATCCATACATCCATCCATGCATCCATCCATTCTAAAATCCAACTTTCAAATTTATAATATTAGTAAGTTTATTCCAGCGTTAGAAGACTATTAACTCATTTTCTAGTTGAAAACGTGATTTCACAAACTATGTCGGGGCTTTCAAATTATCTTTTTAATGGCACTTATTTCTCAGAATAGCTTGTAGTTTCATGGAGCGTTTTATTTGAATTTAATTAAAATCTCGTATCATCAAAAGCTAGAAGTGAAAATTGAGCCGCTGGAGACAAAAGATAACACTTAAGTCGTTACTAATTGATAATCTCCTGTGAATCAAAATAAATATAAAAATGTCCCGTTAACTTCACAGTAGAGAGCAATTAATTCCTAAGAGCCGGGTAAGGGTATGAAGCACAAATATATAAGATGATTAAGAATAAAATATTATACCTAGTTCTCTAAAGAATTTATAAATGATAATAATGATTTTGTCGAAATATCTAACCTGTATTGTAACGCGTTGACAATGTCATCTGATTGAACAAGGATTAAGTGCGTAGCGGTTTCTATGTCGATTGTCGCATGCCTAATCCT